CAAATTTCCTACTCCCGAGGCTTCAACTGACCCCGAGAAAATAATAATTTGAGAACGAACGTTCTTAAAAGGGAATCGAATCGTACTTGAAATTTTAAGAACGAACAATCTCAGATTAAGTATAAGTCGTTCTTGATTTGAACATTTTTCAAAGGCAAAAAATTTATATACAACAAAAATGATTTTGCGATCGTTAACTAAAAGCCGTACGATATTACGTTAATTTTGCAATTGCAAGCTTATTTATGCATGTATATCGAAACTTTATTATCGATTATCGATAAGTATGTTTTTTTTTTCAAAGATCTATAAAGTGCGGTGCAGTAAAAAGTAAACTGAGGAAAAGAGATGGAAACGCTCGAAAGCGTTTTGAAAGAAATCGACATGATCTGTGTGATACCTTTTTCGGAAGGTAAATAGAGAAGAGTGAAAAATAAAACTCGCAAAGTTGTGCATATCCATATACAGTGGCTCGCAGCTTATTTCGTGCAGAGCTTAAATAAAACTTATAAGTCGTATTATTCATAAAGTAAAATAGATATCAAATAAATTTCTTTGCAGTTTTATTCAGTGTTATACTAATTTAAATTAAACCATTTTATTATTATGTTTTTTATTCTGTTAGGTAATACTTAAATCGAACAAATTTCAATAAAAGTAGCTTTTTACAAGTCGCAGCTTATTTCGTGCACGCAACAAAATCCTTAAAATATATGTTAAAACTTTTATGAAAAATGTTGTGGGGCTTTTGTTATGTTTGGTAATATCTTCAAAACATATTATCACCAGAAAAAGCGAATATCTTTGGATAATTTAGTATATTACGTAATTAACGTGCTTAAAATTGTATTTTATTGAAAAAAATCCTTAAAAATAAAATAAGAATCAGGTTATTCTTGACAGTCAACAATTTTATTCTTTAATTAAAATTATATAATTGGGAAACTAAATGTATCACGAAAGATGCATTTTTGATATCCCAGGAACACAAAAACCGAATATTTACTGTGGTTCGGGGCCCTGGTGAAACTTAAAACTAATTTTTTGGCCTAGTTTTATAAATTTTTTGATAATTTTTTTTATTTAATGTGGAAGATAAATGTTTAAATCATTCATTATTAAAGAAAAAAAATTCTTCCACCCTCAGTAACCTCAGAACATGCCCAACCTATATCAGTGCTGACACTTTGCTTAGCCTTAGTTTTTAGGTGGGTGTGGTAAGAACAAAGATATTATAAACACTAAGATGTGTAACGAGGAGCAAGAAAATGTACGGAGGCAGCGTCATTTTTGTCAAATGCGACTCACACGTATTCAGTCTATTTTTAGAATGCCGTTTCTTGACTTCTCTCTCTCGCTCACTTGCTCTCTCGCTCTCAAAACTCCGCGCTGCAGAAAAGTCGAAATTCAATTTTTGTCTCATTTGTTGATTCTTGAATTATGTTGCCGAAAAGGAATCGTCCTAAAAGGCACATTGCGCACAACATTTCAAAAAGGGATGTGGCGCATTGCGTTAGTTGATGGCCCGCGAATAATGCGATTGAGGTTCGAGTCCACTCTGAGGCGAAGTGGTTTTATTTTTATCTTAATTTTTTTTTATTTTACTTTGTTTTTTTGATTTTTAATTTTTTGGTTTGTTTTTTAATTTTTTGTTGTGTTTTTTGTTTGTTTTTAATTTTGTAAGTTCTGAAAGCAGAAGCAATTTGAGCAAATATTTTAAATTCATTACTTTTGAATTAAAAGTTTATGAAATACGCATCCGAGTTTACTATTATAATTTTTTTTCATTTTTAATTTTTATTGAAGTATACAATTTAAATGCAATTCAGGGACTAAAAATAACAATAATTTTATTTTTTAAACAAAAAAGCAAGCACACAATCCCTAGAGAGAAATGATTTACACCGAAATCATTCAATCCATTAATGGTCTTTACCTTTCTTTCAATTTAAAAAAATATATTCTATGAACAATGTTAAAAAAAAAAAATACTTAAAAAAAGAAAGGTTGCGTTCAGTCGGAGTTGAACTCGGTCCGACACGATCCGCAGTCGAGCGACTACACCCCTAGCCCACAGTGCCTTGTTTCGAGACGTGAGACAGATGCGTGATTGAGCCTATTTCGCAGTAGAGCAAACGAAATTGCACACTTACACAACCAAAGAATCTAACACGGACAACGCACACTAGGAAAATTATAAATCCACTTTCTGAATCCACACCAAAAATTTTGCCGTACATTCAGTTGTATGGGCGTTACACCTCTTAGTGTTTATATTCTCTTTGGTAAGAATCAGAACTCCGTTGAAAGCACATAAAATGCGTTTAATAGTAACTATAATTAGTCAGTGAGCACTCTAATAAATAAAAAAAATGATTCCAAATGAAAATGGGACGAATGACGTGCTTTATAGCCTATTTAAATATGCTTAGATTGTTCTTAAATGTGATAAGTAGCATATTTCAACTTGATTGGTCAATAAGTGTAAGATCTCGCTTTAGGACGCGAATGGTTTCCACATAACATTGTTAGCCCATTCTTTTCTGACCAAGACTAGCTAATTTTGGATACCGTATATGTAAATTTTTTTAACTTTTTGGATAATTTTCTTCGGCTCTACTTTCCTTAGAGTTATAAAGAATGCATTTTGGGACCATTCACACCACTCAATTTACTCATATGAAGCTTTGGATTACATATTTTGAAAATCTAGGTCGTAAATCAACAGATTCTGTGATTTGTTAAATAATTTAACAAGTTTTTTTGATGTTTTGGCGATTAAATTTTTAAAAGTTGAGTAATTTTTTAAATTTCTTTATAACTTTTTTTTTAACTGTATTTAAATTCTTCGAAAGTTTATAATACTTTATTAATAATGTTCAAAACAATGTAGAAGTAGAAAAACCTTCTAAAAATAAACAACTTACGAATAAAACGAACATAAAGTTGTTGCACAAAATAAGCTGCAGCATCAAAAAAGTCGATTTTTTCAGTTTATGCTTAATTTTAAATGTTCTTTTAAAAAATTGTTAAGCGTAGATTACGATATAATATCTTAGAATTCTACCAAATAAGACTGCGTTTATATTTTGTTGATACCTTTAATAGTTTATCGGATAGACAACTTTTAAATTAAAATACATATGTCTCTGCACGAAATAAGCTGCGAGCCACTGTACATGCACGTGTGCGGTGTAAAACATACATATATGTACAATATAATACCTACGAACGCCGTAGTGGAATAGAAAGAAAATGCAAAATTACACAGAAGCGGTGTACTTTAAGAGGTTAAAAAACATTAATAAGTTTATTTCTCGTTTAAAAACATGTGTATGGCTATGTGCACGTGTATGTACATAGCTAGTCTACTTCAATTCTGGCGGTTTTTTCAGTTTTGTCATATTTGTGCGTGGTCTTTATCGTTGGTCTTCTCTTCTTTTTTTGTATCGAAGTGCACATGCTTGAATTCATACAGTGATGAACTTAATTCTTGGCACACTTGGCATCTTGGACTTTAGGTTCAATTTTCTCCGACTAATATATGAATAAAAAAATTTAAAAAAATTTGTTTATGTAAAGGCCACATTTTACTGTTTAAATAATTTGGTTTCATATTTATATTTCTTAAGACTAATTTTTTAAAACTCAAAAACGAAAAAATGAGCCTATTCTGCCCGAACAAAATTCTTGGCACACTTGTGTTGTATTTAACTATTTCGCTAAAACTTAACCGATTTGACTCATTTTTTTTGCTAAATCCGCTAGGCCTCAGTTGTCTAGATGGCATATTGCTAAATTTGTATCCTTAAATCGTTAAAATAACTTAATTTTAACTAAAAACGGTTATATAAAAGTATGTTAAATGCCAATACCCATATCTGTGCGAAAAACAATATTTTAAGGGCAGGATCAGGGTCAATCATATGCTAATACTAGGAAATATGAGCCCAGAAGTTGTTTTTACCATTCGGATCCTTTTACGGCGTTTTAAAGGACTCTCACTGTGCAAAAATGCAAGGCACACATCCTGACCCATGGTCATTATTATAAGCACAGATCGAAGTTTAGGATAGGAAGGACTTTTACAAGGATATTCAACCAACGGACATTTTAAAAGCCCTGTAATGTGCCAACTAAATTTTTTTGCAGCTAGAAAATATTCATTTATTTTGAAGGTCAACTTTCCGAGTCCTTAAGTCAAAGTAAAAAGGTTAAAAAAGCCGATTGGGATACTAAAGTATCCCTTTTTGTATCCTAAATGTTTATATTGGTGGCCTTTGAAATCACTTAATTTTTTCTAGCTGCAAAAAAATTTAGTTGGCACATTACAGGGCCTTTAAAATGTCCGTTGGTTGAATATCCTTGTTAAAGTCCTTCCTATCCTAAACTTCGATCTGTGCTTATAAAATCTAAGGGTTGACATTATCCTTTTTCTTGATCCTTTCGCTTCCCTGGCCTCTTAAACCCATGGGTCAGGATGTGTGCCTTGCATTTTTGCACAGTGAGAGTCCTTTAAAACGCCGTAAAAGGATCCGAATGGTAAAAACAACTTCTGGGCTCATATTTCCTAGTATTAGCATATGATTGACCCTGATCCTGCCCTTAAAATATTGTTTTTCGCACAGATATGGGTATTGGCATTTAACATACTTTTATATAACCGTTTTTAGTTAAAATTAAGTTATTTTAACGATTTAAGGATACAAATTTAGCAATATGCCATCTAGACAACTGAGGCCTAGCGGATTTAGCAAAAAAAATGAGTCAAATCGGTTAAGTTTTAGCGAAATAGTTAAATACAACACAAGTGTGCCACGAATTTTGTTCGGGCAGAATAGGCTCATTTTTTCGTTTTTGAGTTTTAAAAAATTAGTCTTAAGAAATATAAATATGAAACCAAATTATTTAAACAGTAAAATGTGGCCTTTACATAAACAAATTTTTTTAAATTTTTTTATTCATATATTAGTCGGAGAAAATTGAACCTAAAGTCCAAGATGCCAAGTGTGCCAAGAATTAAGTTCATCACTGTATGTACTATGTACATTGTACATACATACATATGTATTAACGTATAATTTCTTAGAAACGGTGAAGTTTAAAAAGTTAAAACATGTCCAATTTTAAACTAAAACCATAAAATAAATTTATATGTTACGAAATTAAAGAAGAACCCGCCAGAATTTACATACACATGCATATGTCTGTGTAAGTGCATATGAATATCGAAGAGGAATGGGCAACTGAACCATACATATGTACAGTGGCTCACAGCTTATTTCAACCAGTCTACACCAAAAACTTTAACAGCCCATAAAAACTAAACAAAACATGTTATCAAAATAATTTGAACGCAGAATACATCTATGAGGATACACATTAGTGTATAATAATTTTATGATTTTTTAAATATTTTACAAATATTTTTTATGAATTAATTACAAAAAAAGCCCAAAAAAAAGGCCACAGCTTATTTCAACCAGTTAACAAAAAAATCGAATAAATTAACATAGTGGCCGAAACCTATTTTTTTTTAATTTGGCATGACTACCCTTTTGTTTACCAACAATTTAAAGTTAACTTTATATGGAAACAATGCCTTTTGTTGTTGTTGCCAAGTAAAAACTAGTCCCGACCCTTGGAAAGGACTTTTGGCATAGTTTCGTCTAAAAATATTGTGTTTTCTAACATTTTTTCGTTAAGTGGACTTCCAATATTGTTTTGTGGTAATGTTAAGACACATTTGATTCATAATCATTAGCTTTCGACAGCTCTGGATAAGCTGAATCTGCGAAAAAATATGCACTTCCCATGGGTAATTTCTTTAGTTAAATCAAAAATTAATTTATATTTCAAAATCCTTTCAGTTTTTAATTCATTTATCCTTTTGAATGTGAAGATCAACTCAAATCTTAATCGCGGAGTAAAAAAAAAAAATTATGGAAGGACCTGTTTGACACTTATAGGCCCAAAACAATTAGCGTTCGCCGTTAGACTTTAAAATCGCAATTTGACTTCCCAATTTAGGCTCGTCATTGGGATTTTCTCCGCTTAGATATATTTTTCCGACTCAAATGTATCAAAATTCAAGTATTTCTTTCAAATTCATTTTTTCAAACATACTAAGGACACTAATAAGTGAGTTTCTCGTGTGTATCCAAATGAGCCCTAAGCCTAGCGGCGAACGCTAATTGTTTTGGGCCTATAAGTGTCAAAAAGGTCCTTCCATAATTTTTTTTTTTTACTCCGCGATTAAGATTTGAGACATGATAAGACATGGGAAGTGCATATTTTTTCGCAGATTCAGCTCATCCAGAGCTGTCGAAAGCTAATGATTATGAATTAAATGTGTCTTAACATTACCACAAAACAATATTGGAAGTCCACTTAACGAAAAAATGTTAGAAAACACAATATTTTTAGACGAAACTATGCCAAAAGTCCTTTCCAAGGGTCGGGAGTAGTTTTTACTTGGCAACAACAACAAAAGGCATTGTTTCCATATAAAGTTAACTTTAAATTGTTGTTAAACAAAAGGGTAGTAATGCCAAATTAAAAAAAAAAAATAGGTTTTGGCCACTATGTTAATTTATTCGATTTTTTTGTTAACTGGTTGAAAGAAGCTGTGGCCTTTTTTTTGGGCTTTTTTTGTAATTAATTCATAAAAAATATTTGTAAAATATTAAAAAATCATAAAATTATTATACACTAATGTGTATCCTCATAGATGTATTCTGCGTTTAAATTATTTTGATAACATGTTTTGTTTAGTTTTTATGGGCTGTTAAAGTTTTTGGTGTAGACTGGTTGAAATAAGCTGTGAGCCACTGTATGTACATACATTTATACAGATTCGCTGCAGCTTTAAAACTATGATCTGAAAATTAACTAACAAATAAAAATTCGATTTTGCTCTATAACAAAAAAACGTTCCTTATAAAAAAAGAAAGCAAATTGAGCATGTGCCAAAAAGACAACGGTAAATCTGTGTTAGTGTGTGCGGCTTTGCCGGTTTTTTTTGTTTTCTCTTTGCATTTGCTTTGGCGCCCTTTTCTGTTCCTTGTGTTCACTTGCTTTTTTTTGTGTGCATGTACATAGCTGTTGATTTTAAAAACATTTTAAATTATTTGTGTAACTATTATAGAAGCTGGAGTGACTTTAACACTGCTAAAAGACATATCAGACGAAGAGTTAAAAGAGGCCATTCCTAAATTAGGTTTGCGTATGAAGTTTAAAAGAGAACTTGCCGTTTGGAAACAGCAAAATGTAAGTTTACTTATACTGTGTTTATACGATGCCGAATTCACGCTATCATTTCACGCTTTCGGCCGATTCGTGCTTGTATAAACGCCATTTCGTGAATTCGGCTACACACGAAAGTTGACTATGATTTCAGCCCAAAAGCGTGATTTGATGATATGCAATCTGGTAACTCTGTAAAAAATGATTGACGTTGCCAGATCGCTAGAAATTGAAGGCCTTTTATAGGCCATTTCTCTAATCAGTGGTATTAAAAATTATATATTTTTACCGGTCCGGCATCCCTATCAGCTGAGAGTGAATAAAAGCATGAATTCTCGGCTGTCGTATAAACAGGGGCAATTTCTATATCGCGCTTTCAAGAAATCGTGATTGCTATCGTATAAACATAGTATTAGTCACATTTCTAAGGGTTATATGTACATATCAGGGACCGTAAATAATCATTATTTAAGATTTTTATTTTAAAAGGCCTACTGAGGTTTTTACAAGTTTTATTCAACAATTTAACTGGTTTTATGCACTTTATAGACATGAACAAATAACAGTTAATTTGCTTTCCAGATTTGTTGAAATGCATATACTTTGTGGACAAGAGTAAAAAGAACGTTATTTCTGACGTTTAAAACAAAATATCACAGTAGTCTTTTTAAAATAAAAATCTCAAATAATGATTACACTAGTTTACAGCCGAAATGCTCCCCAGCAATTGATGGCAAATTCTGTTAGTTTTGGACCCCTAGATCACGAAAATAGCACTAATTTTTTTTTCGATGGCACAGTTTTTTTTTAAAGATTTTTTAAAGTTCGAAATGTTAAATTTCGGACTTTTTTTGAATTTCTTCTTATATCTCGGCAGATATCCGCTTGATTGGGCCAGTTTTAGTTTTATTTTAAAGTCAATAGATCAGAGCTTAACTTTGCCATACAGATCAATACGATTGGATGAGTAATGGCAGAGCAGAAGCTCGACAAAGATGAAAAATGTGTTTTTTGGTCGTCTGTAAGTCGGCTGTATATATCGTAAAAACTCGAAATAAATCCGTTGAAAAATCATAATGGGTACTAACTTAAAGTTTACATCCTACCGAATAAAACAAGCCGGATTTGGCCCAAATCGATGGAAAACTGGATTTATGGTGGATTTTTAAAGTTCGGATTTTTCCACTTTTTTCGGTTGACAAAGTCCAAATTTAAGATTTATCATAGGCGGCGACATGTAAACAAAAATGAGTGGTGACGGCAGCCGGGTCAAAAAATAGCTAAATTTAAAAGCTAGAAAATTGTAAAATAAATTTAATTTCTGAAAATTTCTTTAAAAATATAAAATTGCTTGCGTTATGACTGTGAGTATTTTTATAGTTATAGATAGTTCATTCTTATGAAAAAAATAACCTTAATTAAAAAATTAAATTCACTTTAATAATTTTCTAGCTTTTAAATATCTGATTTAGCTATTTAGTGACCCGGCTGCCAACACCAATTATTTTTGTTTACATGTCGCCGCCTATGATAAATCTTAAATTTGGACTTTGTCAACCGAAAAAAGTGGAAAATCCGAACTTTAAAAATCCACCATAAATCCAGTTTTCCATCGATTTGGGCCATATCCGGCTTGTTTTATTCGGTAGGATGTAAACTTTAAGTTAGTACCCATTATGATTTTTCAACGGATTTATTTCGAGTTTTTACGATATATACAGCCGACTTACAGACGACCAAAAAACACATTTTTCATCTTTGTCGAGCTTCTGCTCTGCCATTACTCATCCAATCGTATTGATCTGTATGGCAAAGTTAAGCTCTGATCTATTGACTTTAAAATAAAACTAAAACTGGCCCAATCAAGCGGATATCTGCCGAGATATAAGAAGAAATTCAAAAAAAGTCCGAAATTTAACATTTCGAACTTTAAAAAATCTTTAAAAAAAAACTGTGCCATCGAAAAAAAAATTAGTGCTATTTTAGTAATCTAGGGGTCCAACACCAACAGAATTTGCAATCAATTGCTGGGGAGCACACCAAGAATATTATTTTGTAAACTAGTGTTATTTACGGTCCCTGGTACATATATCATAAAATACATTTTATTTAGAACACTTTTCAGCCAGATGTGCAGGTCGGCCAAGATCAAGAGGAGCTCGAGAAAAATTTTGTGCTAAATAAGGTGACTATTTCTTATTTTCATTAAATACTTAAATACATTTTATATAAAAATTTTACATTTCATTTTTTCAGAGCCTTCTATCCTTGTTTCAAGAAAAAGAGCATGGAATAACATTGCTTAAGAAAAGCATTCTTTCGGAAGCTGATCGCAATTGGATTATCAACTCAATAGTGGAGGAGGCCATCAATAATTACATAACTATTAAAGTTAAAGACTTCCCGAGCTTGGTAGATGAAATTTGCCGTATATTTCCAAGCGAAAAGTCGAACAAGGTGAGAAATCGATTTAAAAAGTTAATTTAATTTAACGCATGCAAATATAAACCATTGTACCTTTCATTTTTAGGAGTTTTATTATATAAGTCGTGACAAGTATAAGTGTCCGACAGGGAAGCTTTACTCGCGCTATAAAAATAAGCGCTTTCAGTTCTCCAAAACCCATCCTGAATCGAGGAACAATAACAATTCTGGTTCACACAACAGCAGAACTGACGCCCAAACCCATACTTCCATTGGTACTAAAGTTGATGAAGCAGTTGCCCAGTCGTTGAAAGCGATTCTAAAACGAGACTGTGCGGACTGGCATGACGTTTGCGAAAAGTGGGAACAAACTTTCCATATTCGGCAAAAGGACTTACATCAATTAAGTGGTGCGGATTTTGTTAAAGCTTGGCCGAGACTTAGCCACGCCCAAGCACCTGAATTGGTGAGTTATACCTCATATTTTAATACCACTTTTCTATTATTTATATTGTAACCAAATTTCTATGTTATTGTTCGTAAATTATTTAAATTATAATTTAATACATTTGTAAAAATTCTTAGTGTGGTTATTGCTGATAAAAATGTAAAATTCTTTGTTTTGTTTTATTTTATACAGATAAACATCGACTTTAAACAAATATATCCGAAAAAAGTGCATGCTTTGGTTTCTAAATGGGACGACTTTAAGCGAAAGGTGCTTCCTCTATATGACAGGAAAATAAAAAACGATGTCTGCAAAGAAAAGCTTAGCCAAGAAAAGTCGGCAATAAAAGAAGGTAGATTTGTTTTCTTCTTTTCCTTCTCTTAAAAATTGCACGTGTAATTTGACTGTTAAATTATTATACTTGTTTATTTTTTCTTGCAGATGCCCAAGATTTTTTGATTTTTATTTTGCTTAATGCTGTGCTGCCACCGTCAGCGCGTTTTGAAAATGAACAAGGGAAGAAGACCAAGAAGCTTACCATAGCAGACGCGAAGGATAGCGTGTTGATGCGATTAGCTTGCCTAAACGATTATCAGCGACAAATTGACAAAAAGGTTGCACTTCACTACTCCGAGGGATCTACACTTCAACCATTTATCATCGTTCACGGTTCTTCGGATACAGATCTCGAGGGTTTTTATGTGTATTTTGATGAAAATCTTTTTAAATTTGATTCCTTTCTTATAAGTATCGATACTTGCTTCAAAATTTTCAACGGTTACGGTCTTAAATATCCGAAGCCTTGCGAGCAAGCCTGGACAGTGATCCAAAAATTTAATTATGAGATAGACACTAAGTTTGATAAGAAATCGCCAGATCTGACAAGTAATTTAAACTTTTTGAATAGTCAAGATTAAGATGTTTGTTTGTTTTCGGTGTCTAATGACACTTCCGAAACCAAAACTCTTAATTTCTCATCTTAAACGAAGTCACTTGCTTTCAAGAAAGTCTTTAAGAATAACATGTAAACAACAAAATTGTGAACAAGTTTTTACTAATTTCACAAACTTTAGAATACACTTGGAAAAAACACACAAAGCATTACCTAGGTATTCTGAACTTCCGTTTGATTTAGGAGAACATAATTCTATTCTTTCATCTACCTTCAGTTACAATTTTGAAAAATCAAAATTAAATGTATCAGCTCTTCCTAATAAGCCATCTCGTCAACCACTTTCTTATGAAGAAAACGAGGATGTATAGAATAAATATAATTTAACTACAACAGAAAATGTAGAATCAAAATCAAATTATAATTTAAAATCTTTGAAGACAAAAGTTATCAGTACTTCCTTACTTCTTTATGATCTTAAGTATATGCCCAGAAGCCATGTAATTTTAATACAAAATATAATTTCCTCTTTAACATCTGATATAGCTAATGCTATTGAAGCTCATGTAACATGTAATTTAAATGATGAATTAAAAAACATTTTAAGTTTTACCAAAGATCCGTTTAGTGACATTCGTACTGAGCATCGACTTCTCGAAGCCTTGAAAGCATTAAGTTTATACGAGGAACCTAAACGATTTCAACTTGATGAAAAAATTTCTGAAATCGTTTCATGTGGAAAGCCTACGTTAGGTCCAAAAGCTTACGATATTTATGTTATGCCGTTAGCTTTTACTTTTAAACAAATTTTTGAAATTCCAGATTTATTAAATCTAACTTTGAAAAACATTCAAGAAAGCGTAAGCTCAAACGATTTAACAAATTTTGCAAGTGGTCAGCTCTTCAGAAATATTTTAAAAGGATTTATTTCCGAATTAGTAATTCCTTTTATAATGTATCTTGATGATTTTCAAATAAACAACCCGCTGCACTCAAAAAATTTTTTTTCTAAATTTTAGAAAATCGTCATAAAATGAAATTTTTTCTTAATTTTAGAAAATTTTCTGAATTTTAGAAATTGTTTTCTTGAATCTAGAAAAAAAGACCATAAAAACAGAATTTTATGAAAACCCTTTCTAAAATTTAGAAAAATGATTTTTTTTCTTAAATCAATGGTGTTTTTTCCTAGTTTGCTCTCCAAAAGTTTTCTTAAATTAATGGCGATTTCGCCATTAAATTAAGAATAAATGTACTTCAGCCCTTCCTAGAATCTAGAAAGTCGCCATAAAAAATACGGTAAATTTTTTGAAAACAGAAAAGTAGAATTAGAAAATCACCATAGATTTAAGAAAAACTTTTTGTATTTCTTTTATGCTTCTCACTCTTTCTTCGAAACGAAAAAGAAGAAGACAAGGGGTTAGTCCGCGGCGCGTTGCGACGACAGTTTTTGGCGTATGTATGTATATGTTTGTGTGTGTTTGTGCGTATGATCGAGAATTTTCTTGTGCGTAGCTGTAACTTTTATTGCGTTGTTGTTTTGGAAATGCATTTATGGTAAGCAAAGGGCATACTATTGCAGGCCGCAAATACCATCCTTCTCTAATATTAATTTTTATTTTCGATTGCAGGAATAATTTCAATTTCAGGTATTGTTGATAATTTGGCAGTAAGTAAGTAAATTTTAATAATAGGTAATATATTAAATACCTTCTTAATATTAATATTAATAATTTGTATCTTTTTTGCTTTCTTTCTCTTTTTTGTTTACGAAATATTTATAATGTAATTTTTATCTTTTATTCTTTTCTTTTCTTTTTTTTTAGGAAATATTTATTATCTTATTTTTATCTTTTTTGTTTTGTTTTCCTTTTTTGTTTAGGAAATATTAATAATTTTCTTTTCATCTTTTTTTTTTTTTTTCTTTCTTGTTTAGGAAATAAAATAGTAAAATAAAGAAAATTTTCTGAAAATAAAAAAAGTCCTTTCTTATTTTTAGAAAATAAATTCTATTTTCAAGAAAAGTACTTTCTGGATTTAAGGAAATTTTCGCAATTTTATGGCAATTTTTCTTGATTTTAGAAAAGTATTTCTGCTTTTCAGAAATTTTTTTCTAAGTTTTAGAAAATTCCTTTCTAAAAAAATACGGTAAATCGCCATCGACTGAAATTCATGGCGAATTTCTTGATTTAATGGCGATTTCGGGCTGTTTTTTTTTTTTGAGTGTGGGCACTCACACAGTTTCAATATGCGGTGTATACATTAATTTTTCATTAATGCCACAATACTTGTTGTCCAAATTAAATTATATTTTTAATTCCGCTTTCATTTCAACCGCAAATCTGAAACAATGTGGGAACGAAGTTTCTTTTTATCATTTGGTAGAGCAATTCAAGGTATTAGAAAATGGAATAATGCTAAAAGTAAATAATGAATTTAGAAAAGTTTGTTTTGTTTTGTCGTTAATAGTCGGCGATAATTTAGCAGTCAATAGCATTCTGGGATACGTTCAGTCCTTTAACTCAAAACGTTATTGTACACTGAGAAAACTTCAGAACGAAAAAACCAAGAACGAATCTTCTTGATTTCAGTGTTTTGTCTTTTCACTTTTTTTAGCACAATCGTTCTTGAAATCAAGAATAAAAGCATTCTTGATCTGGCTTTTTGAGAATACATCATTCTCGATTTCGTTTATCAAGCAAGAACACTATTGAAATCGTCCCCAAGCATTCTTGAAATCGTTCTCAACTTCGTGTCAGAGATGAAAAAAAATGAGAGAGATTAAAAATGAGAGAGAGCTTCCGAAGTTCACTTCGGCTCTCGTCAAATGCTCGTTTTTTTTCGGCCAGTAAAGCGGAGTAAACACGCGGACGACACACCTTTAAAGAACCTTCTAGAGGAACTAGATATTTTGAGTGCGCTCCCCTTCCTCAAACGTAAGTAGTTAATTATAACATTAGTGTAATAATAACAAGAAAGGAAGCTAGCTTCGGCCAGCCGAAGCTTATATACCCTTGCAGATCATTCCTATTAATTAACAAATCGCAAAAATGTTCAATTTTCTAATATTTCTCATTAATTTTCCGATCGTTCCTATGGCAGCTATATGATATAGTCGTCCGATTTTGATTAAATTAAAATTGAAATTCGGAAATATTTAAAAAGAGTCATATCCTAGAGTAGAAGATAATACAATAAAAAGCAAAGAAGCTTGAATTTATTTCCTATTACTTTTCCATTAATTTTCCGATCGTTCCTATGGCAGCTACATGTTTTATAAATTTGTTTATTGAAACATTATCCAACTATTAAAATATTCTCTATTATTTTAAGCACGTGTTTTAGTTTAGTTTTGGCCCTGATAAGATTCTTTGTGCTTTGTGATATAACATTTTGGAAGGAAAAATGGGCCAGGACTCGGTTTTTCTGTGTTATCCTTCAAAGTTTATGCCATTCTTAATGAAGATGATCCAAAACCTAACCAATCGAACCGGTTTTCATGACCGTTTTCTATCCAATATGTTTCTTTTTTCAATATTTTTCTTTTCCGACTTGGAAAATTTTCCACATGTCCTTGAATTGCCAAATGGTAATCAATTTGATGTCTGGATATCAGGAGAAGTTAATTTTAGTCAAATCTCATAAAATATATGCTTTATACACAAGAATATTAGCGCATCGTAACGTTTTATTTAAAGAAAACGGAAGTGGTGCTATTATTTTTTTCGGCCTTTTTTTGACTTGTTTTCTTAAAATCTGAAAAAATTATATGTAGACAATATTTTTGATATCCGTATCAATTTTTTCAAATAGGTGGAATACTAATCAAGATAATAAAAAACACTTCTTATATAAAAATCCCCGTTTTCCACGTATCTCTTTAATATTATGAACCTGTGACGAAGTGGTGCTATTATTTTTTTCGCAACTGTATATGATATAGTAGTCCGATTTTTTAAATAATTTATTCGAAATTCAAAAATATTTAAAAAATAACATCCCCAAAAGTAGAAGGTAATATTTCAAAAAACACCGAAGCTAGAATTTTTTAAAGTTTTTTTTTCCGATTGTTCCTATGGGAGCTATAAGATATAGTTGTCCGATCCGGTCGGCTCCGACATATATACTACCTGCAATAGAAAGAAGACTTTTGCGAAAGTTTCGTCCCGATAGCTCAAAAACTGAGAGACTAGTTTGCGTAGAAACAGACAGACGGACAGACGGACGGACAGACGGACAGACGGACATGGCTAGATCGACTCGTCTTGTGATGCTGATCAAGAATATATATACTTTATGGGGTCGGAAACGTCTCCTTCACTGCGTTGCAAACTTCTGACTGAAATCATAATACCCTCTGCAAGGGTATAAAAATAATGAAAATAAGCTATATAATAAATAAATACTTCGAATTTGTATGTTTGTGAAAAAAGTGACGCCACGCTAAATGCATCTATGTATGTATACATATGTGTGTTTATGCAGGAGCGTGCTTGCGCTTGTAAGGTTCTGTTTTAAAAAAAGTAATATGAAATAATACTTTAACTATTTATAGGCGCTGGAGTGTCTTCATGGACAAGGAGAGATCAATGAGGCGATTCCGCCAATTGGTTTACGTATTGTGTTCCGGGAAAAGCTGTTCGCAAAACTCGAAAGTATGTATATATATAAATAATATACAATTTGTATTATTTATTGTTATTTAAACTATATATAAATTTAGCAGTTTGTGTGACGTAATCAGGAAAAGAGCGAGAAACAAACATCGCTGATTGGTATCGATCCACCTAGAGGAGGTAGCACGCTTGGCAAGGTACATTTTAAAATTATAAAACTTTATATTTATTGTACGTTTTATGTATGTTGCTTAAATTTATTCGTACTTACTTAATAATGATAAGATTGCTGTTAGACTTAAATATGTTTAGTTATAAGTAATTTGTAACTATGTTATATCTATAATAATAAATAGAAAATTAATAAAATAAAAAAGTGAATATATGAAATTTTTAATTTTTCTGAAAAATTCCTTTTTGCATCAAGAGTGGAACATTCTTGAAATCGAGAACGCCTATTCTTGAAATCAAGAACGCTTGAATCCAAGAATTTTTCTTCTCGAAACCAAGAATACGTTCTTCTTGGTAAGAGTGAAATTATTAAACCCGAGAACGATTTACTCTTGGAACCAAGAACGCCTATTCTTGAAACCAAGAACGCCTATGCTTGAATCCAAGAATTCTTCTTCTTGAATCCAAGAAGACTCATACTGAAATCAAGAATAC